TCCTCTCTCTCCTCTCTCTACTCTCTCTCCTCTCCTCTCTTCTCTCCTCTCTTCTCTCACTCTTCTCTCCTCTCTCTCTCTCTCTCTCCTCTCTCCTCTCTCTCTCTCTCTCTCCTCTCTCTCTCCTCTCTCTATCTCTCTCTCTCTCTCTCTCTCACAGACTCACAATGATATAGACTCACAACTCATTCCATGCCATGCATGCACATACACAAACAAGGACGACAAGCCGAGTGCAAGCCATAGGGTTGCACCAACAAACTCCCCCTCAGATTGTTGGCCTTAGAATCTGCTCCCCTTAGTTCAGAGCCATCCCTGCAAGCTTGCAACACTTCCAATGCTGCTGCTCAACCAGCCTCTTGGTCATCATATCAGCTGGCTGCGCTGTCGTTTTCATGTAGTGCAACTCCACTTCACCCGCGGTTACCATGCTCCTCACCCAATGCGACTTCACCTTCATGTGCTTGGTAAGGCCATGAAGAATTGGGTTCTTTGCCAATGCAATAGCACCTTGGCTATCACAGTAGAGTGGGGTAGGTCCTTGCTGCTCCTCCCCCAATTCAGCTAGCAAACGCCGCTGCCACACAACCTCTCTTATGGCACGGAAGAGTGCCATGAACTCGGACTCCACCGAGCTCAATGCTTGGTCCACTTGTTTCTTGCTCTCCCAAGCTGTTGGTCCTCAACCAAAACAGCATATGAAGCCTCCCACACTTGTCATGTCCTCTGCTTCTGATGCCCAAGATGCATCAGAGAAGGCGGTGAGAAAGCGCCTCCCGGGTTTGACTCCATCCGCAACCTTTTGACGCCTTTGTGCCGCCGCGGAGTATTGCAGTCCAACAGTTGCTGTTTGGCCAAGGTACTTGGCCACTCTCTCTCCAGCTGCTACCTGCTCTTCATTAGGGCATTGGACAACCCTAGCCAGCTGCCCGGTAGCAAAGGCTGCATCCGGCCTTGTGTGAACGGCCGCATACATGAGGCTGCCCACCAAGGAGTGAAAACGGCGCCTCTCCTCTTCACCAACACTTTCCTCCGCTGGTCCTTTTGTTAGAATATACCATGCTATGCTAGTTGTGTATATTGTGTTTACATCCCTAGTTGGGTGTACACCTGTGTTGGGGTGTCAATCCAACCCAATTGTGGTTGGAGCCCCCAAACACAAGGACCACAATTGTGGGGGCACCACAAGTGGGTTGGCTAAACCACTGGTGGTACACCACACTTGGACGACCTCCAACTGGTGGTCAACCACATTTGGAAGGATCCTCCCTCCCTTGTGATTGGTCCTAACCCCCCCTTCCCTTCCAACCTTCGTTTCCTAGCTCATCTCTCTCTTCCTATGTAATGCCTTTGCTTCATCAATAAACTGAACCTTTCTGTTTCTAACATGGTATAGAGCAATAATGGCTCACGCCAACTTTTAAATCCCGATCCTTCCCCACGCTTCCGCCCCGTCCCCTTCCGACGTGCACCTCATTGCCGTCCCCTCCATCGCCGCTGCTAGACTCCTAGCCGCCGCCTCTCAACTAGTTTTCTGTTGGGTGGATTTTCAAAAACCCCCAATGCGCCAAACGCCATAGCTCGCTCGATAGTTGACAGAATTGAGTGATTCGACTTGCAAAAGAACGCTCTTGGTGTCAGCTACAACGTCGTAAAATTTCGGACTGTTTCATCGCTTGGATTGTCAGATATTGCTTTCCAAAGTTTGCACACTTTCCTGGATGTGATCACGAAGTGCTACTGAAATTTCTACCAAGTCCTATTTTCATCAGCTAGCTGCCATCTTTCCCCATCTTTTGCCTCCTCACCTACACCTGCTCATCGCCGCCTTACCACTGCTGCAGCCGTAGCAGCAGCAGTAGAAGCAGCAGCAGCACCAGAAGGAGCAGCAGACTCAGCAGCAGCAGCAGCAGCAGCACCAGAAGGAGCAGCAGACTCAGCAGCAGCAGCAGCAGCAGTAGCAGCAGCAGCAGCAGCAGCAGCTGAAGGAGCAGCAGCAGCAGCAGCAGCAACAGCGGCAGCAGCAGCAGTGGCAGCAGCAGCAGCGGCAGCAGCAGCAACAGCAACTGCAGCAGCAGCAGCAGCAGCAGCAGCAGTATCTACAGCCATCCCCATCCTCCCCTCCTCTTTGAGCCGCCGCGGGTCCACCCGCCGCCGCTCCCTCCCGGCCACCGCGGGTCCACCCGCCGTCGCCTTCCTCCCACTCCGTGTCACCAATGGCATCCTTTCCCCCTCCCGTCGACGTCTCGACCCTCGATCATCTCGTGCGCGCTGCCGACAACTCAGCAACCAACTGGTATTCCTTCGTCGGCAGCCTCCACCGCGTCCTCGGCAGTGCTTATGTCCTGCCGTTCCGCCTCCTGGACATCATGCTTGGTCTCCCAGAGGGTGACCTTGGGGACCCGCCGCCTCACCCTGGCGATCCCCCCCCTCTCATTCCCCATCCCGGCGAGGAACCTCCGCCCCCCATGGTACCCGTTGGCACCAGCACTCGCGCTGCCACCGCTGAAGTTGAGCAGCTCTTCCTTACTCAGCGTCGTGAGTTCCTCGTGCTCCATACTGATTACCTGATCGCGTTGGAGGAACACGAGCGGTCGGCAACCCTCCGCACCCAGCATGCCGCTACCGCCGCCGCTTATGCCGCTGACTCTGCGCGATTTGCTGAGCGTCGTCGCGCCTGGCTCGAGGCGGACAGCCGTGCTACTGGTGCCCTTCTCCTTGCCATCCCGTCTGCGCTCATGCGCAACTTCCAGGCACGTCGCATCGGCTCCCGCCAGATCTGGCTCGAGCTTGAGGCAATGTTCGAACGCACCGACTTCGATGCTGTCGGACCGCTCTTCAAGGAATACTTCAGCATCACGATCGAAAATAGTGCTGGCGCCGTTGACTACACCAGCCGTCTCCTGGACCTTGCCTCCCGCCTTGAGGCTCGCCAGACTACTCTCCCCCCCAACCTTCAGATCTACCGTCTCCTCGAAGGCCTCTCCCCTCAATATGAAGTGCGCGTCATCGCCTTCACTGAGGCTCAGCCCCGCGCCTCCCTTGACACTGTGGTCCAATGGATCATTGACGCTGAGGCCCGCCTTCTCTCAACCCCCCCCCTCCGGCCTGAACTCCACCGAGTCCCAAAACCCCCAGCTTGCAGTCACACAGCCGCGTCGTGGCGGGCGCCCACGTGGCGGCCGCACCAACCCTCAGGGAGGGGGTGGAGGTGGCGGTTGTGGGGGCAGCGGAGCCGGCGGCGGTGGTGGCGGGGTCGAGGGTGGCAGCAGTGGTGGTGGTGGAGGCAGTGGTGGCTCATCTGGTAGCCATGGTGGCCGCCCTGGCACTCTCCCCCCATGTTCCTATCTTCGCCGTTTTGGTCCCAGGGCGGGTGAGCGCTGCACCCAAACCAACCATCCCCCCTCGACCTGCTTCAAGGCGTATGATGACGCCTGGTTCGAGCGCGGCAACACTGGCACACCCCCACGCTGGTCTGCCATGGATCTCCGCCCCTCTCTCCAGGATGTCAAAACTCTTCCGTCTTTCCTCCCCTCTCATCTTCAGCTCTCCTCCTCCTCCTCCTCTGTCGCTGACCCCATAACTCCCCAGGAGCTGCAGCAGTTTCGCCGCTTCCAGCAGCTGCAGCTGCTGCAGCAGCAGCAGCAGTGGGGCTCTGGTGGTCAGGCTGCAGCCGCAGCTGCAGGAGCCGCAGCCGTAGCATCTGCATGGCAGCAGCAGCAGCTTGGCTTTGGCACCGCCGCCATGGCTGCCACAGCCACACCAGGTCCTCCTGGCTTTCCCCTCTGGGGCTCTCCTTCCCCTAGTGCTCCCGCCTCCCACTCCAGCTTTCTAGGCGAGCTCATGCGTTCTTCCCCTGCTTCCACTTCCATGTATCCCTCTGTTTTTAATGCCAGTGATTTCCAGTACCCCGTGTCTTCAGCTCCCTCCTCGCCCACGATTGACTTTGTTCTCGATAGTGGTGCCACTGAAACTGCCCTCAAAGACGCCGGCACCCTCACCTCCCTCCCTTTCCCCACCAACGTTCATGGTGCTGATTCCAGCTTCTCCATCCCTTGCACTCATCTCTCCACCCTCCCCTGCCCCCCCTTCCCCTCTAGAGTGGTCACTGGTCTCCACATTCCCTCCCTTCGTCATAACCTGCTCTCCATTCGTGAACTCCAACAGGCTGGCATCACTACCCTCTTCCCCACCTCTGCCACCTACTGTGACCTCCTCCACGGCCCCACTCGCCGCCTCCTTCATCGCCTCCCACTTTGCCCTCGCTCTCGTCAGTACATCCTCCGCACACCCCGCCCCTCCTCATGCCACGTGACCACTCGTGCAGGCACCTCCACTCTCCCCCCTCCCCTCCCTCTAGAGCCACCTTCCTCCAACTCCACCTCCTCCCCATGCTCTTGTCGCGCACTGTCCCACCCCGTTGTTCTCATCCACCACCGCCTTGGTCATATGAACTTTCCCACACTTCGTAAAGCCGTCTCCTCCCGCTTGCTTGACGGTCTTCCCCCCACTCTTCCTCCCCTCCCGTCCTCTTCCGCTCCCCCATGCGCCACATGCATTCATGGAAAGCTCAAACAACAGCCTCACCTCAGTCATCCTTCCTTTGCTGCTGCCCCCCTTGACCTCGTCCACATGGACCTCTGGGGCCCTAACCCTTCCCCTTCCCGCCAAGGGCACCGGTACATGCTTGTCCTAGTCGACGACCACAGCAGGTACTCCTCGGTGTTCCTCCTCCACACGAAGGCCGAGGCCCCTGCTGTCATCGTTACCTGGGCCGAGCAGTGCCGAGTCCACTTTGGTCGCCCCATCCGCCGCCTCCATTCCGACGGCGGTGGTGAGTTTCTCAACCGCACCCTCTCCTCCTACTGCTCAACCCATGGCATCCAGCAGACTCATACCCTTCCCCACTCCCCTCAGCAGAACGGTGTTGCTGAGAGTCGCATTCGTGAGATCACCAAGACGGCTCGGAAAGGAAAGCTAGCTCGTACTGCCTGTCCTCTAGGACGTCACTGCCAAGGGCAGGTGCACCCCTGACGGACGGAGGATGGGTAGGGTCAGAGACCAGAGTGGTGGCGTAGTCAAGACGGCGGGTAGAGGCAAAGGCAAGCTAGAGCAAGCTAGGGCGAGCTAGGTCGTTTAGGGCGGATGTTGGTGGGCGGACCTAACCTCGCTGATACCATCTCAGAGTAATGGAATACAATAGAATAGTGGGTACATGGTAGTTTTGTGCCAAGTGTCGTACTCTCTATGAGCAGGCACCTAGCTAGCCTATAATCACATACAAATATATGTTGATACATAAAGCAACTACTCTTAGCACTTCAACGTCCGGAAAACAACTACTAAAAAACTTAGAGAATCCCGGAATCAGGGTTCTCTTTTGGAAAAAAACGTGTCTGAGGAATCAGAGAAGGTTTGCGCACTTTGTCTGGTGCACTTCTCACTATCAGAGAAGTATGAAAAAGTTGTCTGATTTTTCATGGAATTCTAGAACGATTTTTTTTGAAAATTCAGAGAAATGTATTTGCATAGTCCGTTTGTATGAGATGCAGCACTTCGACTAATTAGCGGTTGCGGAGTACAAACAAGCAAAACTGCTTAGCATCCAATCCAGGGTCTTTGCTAGGATTTTCGGCCATCTGAAAATCAGACTTGGCTTTGAACTTTCATCCGATCGTCATACGAAGACTTAGTGAATGTCTGAGACTTCAGACGAAACTTAAAGCATGGTCTTAAATTTCAAGATTTTTTTTTTCAACCACAACTATTGAAAGCATATTGCTAGTAGCATATTGCTAGTAGCATATTTAAGCAAGCATATTGCTACTAGCATATTGCTAGTAGCATATTTAACCACAACTATTGAAAGCATATTGCTAGTAGCATATTTACGTTTCCGTCTTTTCTGCAAGACCCTGGTTCTCACGTGGGGTGGGGTGCTTGATTGTGTCAATCATGGACTTAGGGTGACGTGGGGTGACGTGTTGCAGAGCCCATGGCGAAGGGGAAGTGGGCGATGAGACTCACGTAACGTGTCACGTGCAGGCAGCCCTCTCTTTTGGCCCTGCCATTTCAAGGTTTGCCCCCGCCCCCAAGTGGTATTGGGAGAAATTGTTGGTGCAACTCTAAGGCTTGCACTCGGCTTGTCGTCCTTGCTTTTGTGTGTGCATGCATGGCATGGAATGAATTGTGAGTCTATGTCATTGCTATCTAATGCTTGTGTGTGTGTTTGAATGGTGTATCACAATGTTGTTTGTGTCAGACAAGACATTAGCGAGTTTTTACAACTCGCATGTCAAGTCGTCGTTTGTGTGTCGCACGTGTTTTCTCTATTTTGTTGGGTGTGAAGTGTCCATCGCGTCGCTGGTGTGTACAGCAAGCCCCCATAAACTCAAGAAGAATTTATATTGCAGATCCAAGACCAAGAGCTCAAGATTTCAAGCCCAAGGGACGCGGATAAATATTCAATAGTGAAAATAGTAACGCTGCTTCGTGTAGTGTTACATTTCGCTTGGTGTAGCCCCTTGGAGGGTTCCTTTCCAGACTCTTCGTGGTTGGGGACTCTGTGGTGCTGTACCACCAACCTGGACCTCGGCTCCTGGGGTATGTAGAGGCTGGGAACCATCTCCCTCTCGAATTCTTCTTGCTAACTTTGTACTTCCAAGACTATAGTGGCTGCTATACCTCCTGCCAGTCAAACCGCCATAGCGTTGTAAAAAACAGAGTTGAAAATAATTGATTGGGTATGGAGCCCAAGGCTCTATAAGTACATGGCAAGGTGAGAGAGAATAGATGAAGGGGGAATTGGAGGGAATTCCCATTGGGATCTCCGAAATCTCCAATTGGGTAATTGGAGATTGTGGGGATCACAATTGGGTGAGGTTGGGATTTGTGACTACACCCCAACCCACTAGAACATTCACAACCTAAACTAGGATATAAAAGTACAAATACAAAAGTGGTATTTGCAGTCTATTTCTAACACACCCCCATAGACTGCAAACCCGGTCAAAGAGCACATAGCCCCATGGAACGGAGAAGGCGATGGTGGTCAGCCTTGCCGAGAGCCTTGGTAAAGAGGTCGGCGAGGTTGCAATCTGAGGCGATGTACCGTACCGTCAGCTGGTCACTCTAAATAAGATCTCGGATGAAGAAATGACGAAGTTCGATGTGCTTGGTGCGAGAGTGGAACACAGGATCCTTGGTGAGGTGAATGGCACGCTGGTTGTCACACCATAGGGTGGGCGACTGCTGGGGGTAGCCTAACTCAGCGAGGAGAAAGGAGAGCCAGCGTGCCTCTTGAGCAGCCGTTGTGCCCGCGTAGAGCTCGGCCTCGCAGGATGACAGGGAGACTGCAGAGGACCGAGTGGAGCGCCAGCTGATGACTCCGCTACCAAGGGTGAAGCAGTACCCTTGGGAGGAGCGTCTGTCAGTCTGGTCATCGGCCCATGAGGAGTCTGTGTATCCCTCGAGCTTGACTGGAGAGGTACCACCAAGAGTGAGGATGTGAGACTTCGTGGCTTGTAGATAGCGGAGGACCCTCTTGGCTGCAGACCAATGCGAGGCACTGTAGCATCCGGGGGAGACGTACCGAGAGAGGACACTAATCGGGTAAGCCAAGTCTGGTCGAGTGCACATCATGGCATACATGAGTGAACCGACTAGCTCAGGGTACGGGTCCTTGCAGGCGTCAGGAGAAGGAACTGGAGGGGCCGTGAGCTGATGCTGTAGTGGGAGTGGAGTGGAGACAGAGTTACTGGAGTCCATGTCGAACCGCTTGAGAAGGTTGTCGATGTAGTACTCCTGGGAGAGGGTGATCGTGCAAGCCTGGCGGTCACGAGTGATCTCCATCCCCAGGTAGTTCTTGAGGTCACCAAGATCCTTCATGAGAAGGGCGGAGCTGAGAGCAGACTAGACAGCTGCCATGTCGGCTGGATCTCTGGCGGCTAGAATGAAGTCGTCGACATAGACGAGGATGTAGAAGGGCTCGGAGGAGTGACGAACGAAGAGACTGGAATCTGAGGCAGAGGGATGGAAGTCAAGTGCGAGGAGGACTTCCTTCACCTTGTTGTGCCACTCACGAGGAGCCTGCTTGAGGCCATACACTGGGCGCTTCAGCTTCCACACTGTGTTGGCAGGGTAAGTGCCAGGAAACCCCGGTGGGCGTTCCATGTGAACATCCTCCTTGAGCTGGCCTTGGAGAAAGGCGGAGGAGGCGTCCATGGACTTCATCTCGAAGTTGCCGCGAGCGGCTATATCAAGAAGAGGGCGCACAGTCGGGAGCTTGGCCGTGGGCGAGAAGGTTTCGAAGAAGTCGAGATACTCCTTCTGGGTGAAACCCTTTGTTACGTATCGTGCCTTGAACAGTGGAGCTTCGCCTGGGAGTTGTTTGACTCGGAAGATCCATTTTCCGCCGACGATGTTGACACCGGAAGGGGGAACAACATCGTCAAAGCTGTTGTTGCGAATGAACGCCTCGTTCTCCACATCCATTGCTGCCTTCCACTCCTTCTTATAAGGCCCCGAGAGAGCTTCCTCTTTTGTGCGAGGAGTCGGAATGGTCGGGTTCTCGGTGAAGTTGAGGGAAGGGCAGTCAGTAATGTCCGGGAAGATGTGAGAGAGAAATTGGCAGACCGCGTGAAGGTCAAACAGCTCCTCATGCCTGTCCTCCAGAAGTGCACGGGGGGGAATACGGATGGAGGGGACATCACCCCCGGCAGGAGGAGGCGGGGTGACCGAACACCGGATGGAGAAGGCGGCTGGTCCCCAGGCGAGAGGCGGAGCCGGTCCCTTGGAACGAGTGCGACTAGAGACCGGAGACGAAGGCGGCTGCGGTGGGACCGGAGGGACTGGGCGCCTTCGATAGGAGACTGGTGAGCCGGGCTCGACGCGCGGGGAAGGCGGAGCAGGAGGAGGTGCCGC